TGATATCATCGGTTACTGTCATTTGGCGAGATGATGACAATGCTCCTTCACGTACGTTTTTATAACTGCTAACCAATTCATTATTTTTCGCTTGTTTCTGTCTCTAGAATTAATATAAAATAATTGTGAGATATCCACTTTCTATCATTATTTTTTAAATGTATTTCTCAAATTGTGGTCTCTGTGAAGCATATTTTCTGTAGTTTCTAAGCATTCGCAATTGCAGACGATGGCTGGGAAACAACGATTCCTGTAGAAATTCTCACTGGCGTGGAGCGTTTCTACGATATACGCTCCATTGTGAAACAGAAGAAGAACGACGTTCTGCTGATTGTTCCGCTGGGTCGATGTGGCCTTGATATAAAAACCTTGCGAAAAGCGGTAAATGTAGGTTTCTTGTTGTTGAATCGCCTTTTCTTCAGTGTCTTACCTGTAACAACCTTCTTACAATGTAATACTTCGGCCATTAAGAGAGTTTATGTTGCACTCGAACATGAGAAAGAAAACTCAGAAACCACATTGAAATCTGAAGACTTTGACCAATTTGGACATTTTCTAGATTGTGTTAGGCCCTACCCCCTGTACTAATACTTCCTTGCAGATTTGGCGAACAGTGCCTGATCGAAGGGTTGTAATTCACTGTACTGGGTCACCTATGTTGACCGTCAATATTATTCATAAGGTAATTTAATTTCTACTCATTATCGGTGTAGTTCATGTTCTTCCATTTTCCAGATGATTCTCTCGCCATCGCTCAATAGTGACCAACTGATAACTGGTTTTGAGCAAATGATTGAATTACTTGATGTTCATCCTAGTCTACATGTTGTTACTCGGGAACAAGCAGATGGTGGGTTCTTTGGTATTCGTATGACTCACTTTTTAATATAATAAAGGAAAGTGGAGAATTCTCTAAAGCGGACCTTCGAGGTGGCTTGTTTTGATGCTATGGTATTATTGAAAACTGTATTTTTCTTCGTAGCCTCTTAGTTTTTGAAATTTTTTGAGGAACATGGCGAAGATAAGAAGTGATTTTTATTGTTCCTTCAATGACTTTTTTCTACTTTCTGCCAGGGTCAACCGTCACGTTGGACCGATTTCCAAAATGGGGGAGGGGGGGGGGGCTTATACACACCGTGAAACGGCAAAATTTTAGCGCGCCAACCAACTGCATCATCACTTCCCTTACTGTAACATTAACGCTACCTCGCGAAATACGACCCCCTTTTCCACCCCAAATACGACCCCCACCCCTCGTTGGACTTTGTCCAACGCACGGTTGACCCTGCTTCCTGCTTGTTTTCGAGAAATAGAGAATTGTGGACTCTTGTTAAACATCAAAAATCTTTGCTTGAGTTGACACGAGAAAGGAATTGTTCAAATCGTTGAACCATTCAAAAGATGTGTGCCATATTGCCACAAAATTTTACGGTAGCGTCAAGGTTGGAATT